AGGGGGTGTCTTTACGTCTAGGAGTATTTCAGGCAGGACTTCACGGAGGGTTCCAATAAGAAATGGTGCACCTAAGTTATCGTTCTTATTGGAACAAGAAGGTTAGCCTGGCCTCTGATTGATACATGGCTAGATTTACCTCGCTGCACCTTCTCTGTGAGTGACTGCAGTGTGACCTAGAAGAATGAGTCCCCTAGACAGGGGAGGGGGGGAAGCAAATGAGTACAAAACAAATCTGGTCTATTTCTTGTTTTGATCCACTCCATCTATCTTTTACATCTTTGGCTGGCAGCAGATGGTGCAGAAGGACTGCATGCCATCCACATCTCATGGCTGCTCGCCAGAAGATGGTACAGTACGACTGCTACCAGTCCGTATCGCCTGCCCGCTCACCATAAGACGGTTCAATAGGACTGACTGCAGGACTAAAGAGAATGACCTGGTCAAGTCACTCCAAATTTAGTCCCTGCGCCCATGTCTGCCCAGACGCTCCCAGCCGACGTGGCCAGGAGCACCTCGGACATGACGATGACGGCTACCAGTCGTACTGTACCGTCTGCTGCCACAAGGCAAGGGGTTGCTGCTACTGTGTAGCAATGCCGTACCGCGTCTGCCAGCACCCAGGAGACATAGGGTGACGGTTACCTGAGCGGGCTCCATGCTTGCCGTGGTTTGGCGTCTGCACAGGTAACTCAGGAAAAAAGGCGCGAAACGATTGTCTGCCCTTGCTTTCACGGAGGGAGGGAGGGATCGGGGGGCCTGACGATATGTACCCAGAACCACCCACGACAATGTTTTAGCCCCATCAGGCATTGGGATCTCAACCCAGAATTCCAATGGGCAGCGGAGACTGCGGGAACTGTGGGATAGCTACCCACAGTGCAACGCTCCGGAAGTCGACTCTAGCCTCGGTACTGTGGAAGCGCTCCGCCGAGTTAATGCACTTAGAGCATTTTCTGTGGGGACACACACACTCGAATATATAAAACTGATTTCTAAAAAACCGACTTCTATAAATTCGACCTTATTCCGTAGTGTAGACATACCCTCAGTATTCTAAAAAAATTTTCAGACAATGAATTAATTTTGACAACACATTTGTGAGGGTATTTCTCTCTTACAGAAGGAGAAATTGAGGCACAAAATGGTTAATTTCACAGGGTCATGCAGGAAGTGTTTGGCAGAGCCAAGAATAAACATAGATCTTCAGACTGCTGCTAGGCCATGCTTCTTTATTTCCTGAATACTTCCATTCATTAGAAGTAGTTGTTTCAGACAAATTTTATTTGAATTTGCAGTCAGTTGATATTCCATAAAGATTTCCTTATTTTAAACAAACACAAATGCTTTATTTAGTATATAGTTTCAGCATTTTTTGTGTTACTGTGTCACTAGGTGGTCAGTAGATGGTTTGTAAACTATCAGGCTACTGGGTTTTAGTATATAACTACATTTATAAACGTTTAAAACAATAGATTGAATTATACTTATTTACTTAATTTTTGTATCACACTGAGCGAAGACATTTTCATTCTGTATCTGATTCTGCAAACTCTCATTCACATGGGTAGTCCTTACTCAGGTATGTAGTTGCAGAGTTTGCAGGGTTGTACCCATTAATTTCTGCTTTACATTTTTTCCACCAGAACTGTAATGTATAGTTTAAACACAAAATTGAAAATAGCAAATCTTTATGCTTTTTTAAAAAATTATTTATCAATGTGGGGGTTGCTGCAGAATTGATCTTAATAGAATGAGTCCCTGTTGAAATACTTTGTTGCACACCCACTCTACTATCCTTGAATAGGAGAAACATGTCATCACCATTTTGATCACTGAAGAAATGATCATGTCAGTTTGTAAATACTTTGTATCGGTCAGGACCTTGTAGGTACAGTCTATTACATGTTTATGTAATAAATTCCTGGTCAAAGTGGTTACCATAGACAAGTGTATATTAACTTACATCCAGGAATGCTGCACTTGCCCAGCATCCATTGCAAGTCAATGGGAGTAGAATGCTTATGCCCTTAGGTGAATTTGAAAAGATCACCCTTAATCAAGTCAGTATCAAAACATTTCCAATGTAGGGAGATACTGCCAAAATTTTAGCAAGGGACTTCCTCAAAAATTTTCCTTCCCTTGGTGATACAGCCTTTAAAACAAAACAGAACAAACATGGATTTCATACTCTTCTCCTCTGATGCCAAATCCTTCAGTCCTTCCTCTCCTTACCATATTTTCTCCTCCCTATCTCTTCACGGAGACTCCTCAGGGGGCTTGCCAGCCTGGCAGGTGTTCCACTTGCCATTGCAGGTGCTATTATGAGGGTATACTGCTGGAAGAAATGGTTGCAGGCCCGTCATGCTGTGGCCATTGTCTGTGCGGTGGCTGGTTGGATGGGGAGCAAATCTCCTCCTGTGATTTGTTGGGAAGTCAGTTGTGGAGTGGTCCCTTTTTGGTTCTTGGGGTAGGTGTCTTTTCCCCTGCTGGTATGAGTAGTCAGTTCAGGGGGCTTGGTCAGGATGGGAAGCAGGTTTTCCTTGAGTGGCGATGGAGGTTTTGGGATGGAAATAATGCTCCAAGATTCCCTCCTAGAACCAGTTCTTCAAGCTCTGGGACAAGCAGGGCACGTGCTTGAGGACATAAAAGGGCAGCAGGACTCTCACTCAATACAGCAATAAGTTGTCCCCAGCTCCTGTCATCTCATGTGTTGTGGGAGTGCCCAACAGGAGCGTTCAGGGATTCCTAGTGGGTGAAGCCAGAGGGGTGTTTCTCCTGCACCACCTACTGTTGCATAGCAGGCTCACCTGCAAGGTAGCAGTTGCCCAGGTGAGTAGAGGCTGGCTCAGTTCTAGCCACAGAGCATCCTGCAATGGAGTGGGCGTTAGCATTTTGGGCTGAGCAGTTTTTTGGTCCATGATCCCACCATTGAGGGCTGGGCCAGCCTGTGGATTCCAGGGAGAGTTCATAAAATAATTTTTTGAAATATACACATTTTATGTGAAGTGAGATGGTTACATTTCAGTGTATATGGTGGAAAGTGTGTGCGGGGGGAGACCTTTATTTTTCTCCTCAGCCTTCTGGTGCAGAAGCAGAGCCCAGCGGTTTCTTCCTTTCATATCTAGCCATCAGTTTGTTTTGAAGGCTATTTTTTGCAAGAAAAGGGGTTAGAAGTTTGCTTTTTGTTTTTAAAAAAAGAGAGAAAGAAAAGAAAATTAGTGAAAGCTGAGATTTTCCTTCATAGGTTCAGAGGCTGAACGTATTAAAAGAGGGCTCCATGGTCAACTACATACAGTCAGAGAGAGGCATGATTCTAAGAAATACTGAAAGGATTTGATAAAGTGTAGTTCTTAATATAGTGATGGGAATTAGAGGGGTTATAAGCAAAAGATATCTACAGTATGTAGTCAGTGGTTATGATGTGTGTGTATGCGCACATGTATTCATTGTACATGTCATCTATATCTCTTCATATGAAAATATCAATCTCAAAGTTTCAAAACTCAAAGGTTAAAAAGCATGATTTAATTCATACTTCTTGAAGAATTAGAAGCAAGCAGTGCTCATTCTTGCTTTCACTATGATGTCTGGCAGGAAAAGCCATTTGGACTTATGCCTCCTTTTTATGCTCAAAAGAGGAATGCTGATGAGGAAGAGGTGTTAAAATATGGTGCCATAGTTTACAACTGTCAACTATAATGTTTTATTTAGCTGTATCTATTCAGATGCTCCCTCCGCAATATGCAGTGCCATATGCCATTGTCCCTGTTAGTAAGCAAGTAAGCAAAGGTTTCCCAGGCTGCACTTGTTTTTGTGTTTGGGCCACCAAGGAGCTACGGTCCAGTGCCATCTTTTATTGATAGGGCCGGCAGAGGAGGAATCTAATGAAATTATCAAAGCTTTGAATTAATTATGAACTTGAATAAGAAAGCTGAGCTCTCTAGAGCCAGAGATCTCATTACCCATTCATTCTTATTGCATCCTCTTATGGAGCAGAAGGCAGGTTCAGCAACAGCTTTTAGCCTGGATTTGGACTTTATTCAAACTTGCTAAAGTCGCTAGCGTCCACTTGTTATGGCTGAAAAAGTCCGTGTTGATTAATTTGACTCTGCTCTAGAATCTTCATGTAATGGTAGGTTCTCACTCTCTCCTTCCCTTATAACTTGTCTCATGGCTTTTCATCATCGGACTGAGTTTCTTTCCATTCCTGGTAATTGTGGAAGCTATTCATAATTTAAGTTTTAACTTCATGGAATTTAGTGATTTAAGGTTCAGAGCTAAAACTGCCATTTTATGTTTCCTGGATATTTAGGTAAGCAAAAAGGCTTCTACAGACATTACCAGTTGTTTAAAAAGACTGTTAAATTGTAGGTAATGCTTGGACATTTTGGCCTAAGAGTTAACTGTATTATTCTGTTTTTACTACATTATTTCTATTTGCAATTTATTGGTCATTTTGTAGAAACTTCTGAGCCTGTTAATAAGTGATTGTTCATAACTTCTTAGGTTACTTGCCCAATTAAGATATTGTGCTGAAAAATTAGTAAGAGGGCTATTAAAAATAACTGTCTGTTTTAGTCCAACACAAATTAGAACTCTCTTTCTCTCCTGGGCCCCTTAACAGTTTTGGGTTTCTTTTTAAATGACTTGGTCAATCATGTAAAATTCTTGTCAGTGATTTAGAGTAAACTCAGTGAGACTGAGATTCTGTCTCGTACTTTTGGTATCCATTATAAGTTTGTAAGATATAAAATACAGCGGCAATCTTGCTTTATACAACCCATTATTTATGAGTATATAAGCTGGAATTCATCTGTCCTCATAAGCTACAGGACACTGGAAATTTTTATAAGCAATGGCTAACTTTGCTTAATCAGGTGTGTGTGTATTTGGAGGTTATGAAGGCTTGCTGGGAGGGGAAATAGCATTCTGTTCTTCACTAGGGCTATTTTTACTGTGAGTGATATTTTCTTTTTTTTCTCTCTTTCTCTCTCTAGGCAGCTGCTATATTTAACTCAGCCTTTGGAAGTTTTTTGGTAAGTAATGCAATGGTTACACCTACTGCTATAACGTTGTTGTTTTTTATCTTATGGTTGGTGCTGGCTAGTCATTGAGTTAGGCTGGTAAATAACTGAATAATTTTAGTATTTCTTTCACCCCTTCTTTTAGTAGAAATACTGCTATTTCTTTTCACTGAATCAGAGTCTCAAGAAAATTAGTGAATGAATAATCTTTGATCAATGTAAATAAATGTTTAAAGTACATCTTAATTTTCTCTTACCTATTATTGGGCAGATGTTTCAGAGATGGGTGTCAATACATTGATTTTTCTAAGGAAGTTTATTAAATAATCATTATTTTCTATCAAGGGGCCATGGACTTTGAAAAGAAAACATGACCTGGCTAATCGAAAGGAGATGGTAATTTACTCAGTGACATGTCATTAGTTTAGCATATTTTACTGTCAGCGAAGCCTCTCTTTTCTGTGTCCCTGAGGATCAGTCTGAAGTAGCTAGAAACAAGGAAACGAACAAGCTGTTGCTTTAAAAAAGCCAAAGTGATATTTGTGGGCATATTAGTCTGTAAAATTTCAGCAAACTAACTGAAAAGAAGGCCAAACAAATTTGTTTTTCTAATAAATAAATGTATTTATGAAGAAAGAAAAAATATTTTGTATTGATGTATTGTTTAGAGACATTGGATTATTTTATTACAATATGATATAAACTGATGAGACTGATTACTTGAGTGGTATAGTTAATCATGGATTTTACTTTACTTAGGTTTTTTCCTAAAATATGTAAATGCTTAAAAGTGGATGTTTTCAGTTCCAGTCTTGCTTACCCAAATAGAGAATTAATCTGATGTGTGATTTGAATGAAAGGCAAAACTATTAATGTAAAATATGTAGGTGAAATTGGAACTACAGACATGAAATTGTTCATTAAGCATGTAAAAAGATTTTTAGAATAGTGTATGTGTGTAAATATATAAACCATATGTATATAAAAACACACTGCAAAGAGTGTGATAGTAATACTGAGATTTGCAATTGTGTACCATGTTTCTATAGTTCGATGTGTTTTAGAGTTACACAATATGTACGTATTGTGTATGTTTATATGTAGTGTATACGTGCACACAAGTAAAATCTAAAAATGTCAACATGGAAATGTTTCTTCCCTTTTATGGGTTAGTGGGGCTCTAGTAATGTTGCTCTTAAAAAAAAATCATCTCTGCACCAGGTTTTGGAATCTTTTTGTCAAATTACCTTTTAAATCAGGGGTGGCCAACTTGAGCCTGAGAAGGAGCCAGAATTTACCAATATACATTGCCATAGAGCCACAGTAATACATCAGCAGCCCCCCATCAGCAGCCCTGCCAATCAGCGTTTCCCCCCCTTCCTCCGCACACCTCCCGATCAGCTGTTTCATGGCATGCAAGAGGCTCTTTGTGGGGGAGGAGTGAGGGCATGGCAGGCTCAGGGGAGAGGGCGGGAAGGGGCAGAGTGGGGGCAGGGCTGTGGCAGAGCCAGGGGTTGAGGAGTTAGCACCCTGCGGCACATTGGAAAGTTGGTGCCTGTAGGTCCAGCCCAAAAGTCGGTGCCTATACAAGGAGCCGCATATTAACTTCTGAAGAGCCGCATGTGGCTCCAGAGCCACAGGTTGGCCACCCCTGTTTTAAATAGTCACACTTTTCTTTCTTTGGTCTAATAAGAGAAAATGGTCAGCAAGGCCTAAATTCTCTGCAGTTCCCATCCCCACTTCAGTGAGAACTTTGAGTTCACAGAGAGCCCAATTCAGGGCTCATTTAAGCCATTTGTAGCCTATTGACATCATTCGGAGTTTGATTGAACCCTATGTGTCACCCATAATATAATGTGTTATCAGACTAATTTAACATTTTAAAAGAATATTATTTAGAATTTCTAGACTCAAATTTGAAATACGTTTTAAACAAATCTTGGTTAAAGAAGCTAGACCAAATTCTGACCTCATATAAATTCGTATTACCTCATTGATACAAATGTATTAGTTTTGAATTTAGTTCTAGGAATTTCTAATATTGTTTTTGAATTTCCCTAAATGTGTGATTACCTAAATTTCACACTTGTGTGCAATACTGGAGAGATGTGGTGAACATTCTGCTTTTATAAATCCATAGAAGAGGAAATCAGATTATTAAAAAAAATTGTTGTAAAATTAACTAAAGACAAACTATGGTACCAAACAATTTTTAAAATAAAATGTATTGTAAAAATAGCCCCTCAAAAGTAAATTAAATCAGAGGTTATTAATGAGCCATTTGAAATTTTATTTCATTATACCGTAACTGTTTGAAAATGTGATTCTATGGGGGAGTATGTGCATGATATATAGTCACATATAAGCCGTGTATATAATATAACTGCATTGGTTGTGATCTTGTAAACACTTATGAACATATTTCATTTTAAGTAGGTGAGTAGTCCCATTAAAGTGAGGATTTTTGCAGAAGTGGGGCCATGTGTAGCTGGATTCCAATCTCACACCATTTTATACTGGTGTATATCTATTCCCTTCAGGGGAGTTGCTCCTGATTTATTCCCGTGTGAGATCAGAATCTGGTCCATAATATGTATGCTTTCTACTAACTTTTAGGATGAGATTTTTCAAAAATCCATAATTAGGCATGTAAATAAGTAATCTAATTATAAAAAGTCAATGGAAGCTACTGAATGGTCATCAACTTTGAAAATCAAATGACTTGGTGCCTAAGTATGGACTTTGGGCACCTAGAATTATGCTTCTGTTTTGAAAATCTTGACCTCAAAATGCCTCTAAAGTGCAAATATGAAACTGATATATAAACAGATATCTAAAGCTATGCATCAGACAGTGTGTTTGCTATATATACATACCGATGAAGTGAGCTGTAGCTCACGAAAGCTTATGCTCAAATAAATTGGTTAGTCTCTAAGGTGCCACAAGTACTCCTTTTCTTTCTATATACAGTGATTTATTTACAGACCTACAATACTATAAGGCATATTGGTATAATGTTTGTTAAAGGTGAAGCTGGGAGATCTGGAAGAGCTGAATTAAGGGAAGAATTTGGCTCACTGTGGCTCTAATCCTGCAGTTTGTAGCACATAGGCAGATTGCTGCGTCCACATATAGCTCTGGCAAAGTGAGTGGGACTCTGTGTGGCGGAGCAGTGTGCCCGCATGCTCTGCACCTTGTGGACTCAGGGCCTATGCACATTCGGCTAAATATAGGCTGCTTATGGAAGAATCCAAATTTTGAAAGATTAATTGTAATATTCTTGGGTATGCTATTTGGACTACTAACTCCTCTAAGAGGATTGTGCATGGACTTTGGGAAGTTTTTCTCCTAAATAAACTGTTTGTGGTGAAAAGTATTGATTTGTAGGAAAGGTCTCAACTTAATGACGTTAGAATGATATTAAAATGTGATCTGACTGGGGGGGAGGGGTGTGTGTGTGTGTGTGACAGAGGGCATGGAGTGAGTAGGTTAGCCTGCACCCTGACCAGGAGAAGCTGATTGTGGGTAATGGACTCAATTGGGCCATCCGCACAGGGCTGATAGGAGGCACAGGAGGGGAAGTGCAAGAGAGGAACAGGGCTAGCTGGGGCTAGTCACAGAGAAGGCTCAGAGTAGGGAGACCTCTGTTCCCCATAGGTCCTGCTGAGAGGACCTAAACCTTGGCAAGCACTGTAAATAGGGGGAAGCAAGATGGACTATGGTGATATTGGTGAAATAAAGCTTCACTGAGAGTACACCTGGAGGACTCTGCAGTTTCTGCAGGGAAGAAGATGGGGGTGGAGCAGGGTCCCTGTTACAGGGGGAATTAACTAGTGTCTGGTATTCATATAATAGAATTTGAAAGGCTATTTTGGTGGGTTATCGTGTTCTTAGGTCATGTGTTGTGATACTTTTGGGGAGGAAAGTTTAAAAAACCGTGCCCCAAACCAACTTCCTTCATCCCTCCCATCTCCCCACACAAAAAAATTCCTGTAGATTTACATGCAGCCGGATGTGCAAAATGATACTGTACATATTCATAGCTAGTTTAATAATGTCCCAGGTCTAATTAAAACAGTGTTTTAAAGAACTAATTGTTACAGAAAACTGTTTTTTATGTAGCTAGACTGGTAATAACTAATGATAGATGAATTCAATTTACATAAATTTCAGACCATGAGAATATTTTAGAATCATGCCACAGAGGATTGCTTTAAGTTAGGAAGTTAATATCGTTATCTCCTCCTCTCATTTTAACAGTTTGGTTTGCAATAATTGTGGAGCATAATAAGTGATTCAAGTTCCCCCCCTTGATGGGGTTTTAATAAAATCTGATATCCAACCACTCTGTATTACTAAAATGCAATCAGAGTGGTTGCTACTATAGAGCATGCAAATGTACTGCAATAGCAGTGCCATTGAGTTCAACAGCATTGCTGGCTACTGCTCCAACATCTAAAAGGAAAAGGCACTTTTTTACTAAAGAAGTTGGTGATTTACAGTAGAAATAGTATAGAAGTTCAAACATCTTTCTATCTAGGTTCTTATACTGAGCCCGTCCCCATGGTAACTAAGCACCTCTGTTTCATTTCTGATGATTGTCATGTTAGAAAAGAATGAATAGTTTTTAAATGCTAAAACCAGACCACCATATGTGGTGATCTGCTTTTCTAGTATTTTAAAACTTAACTGAATTATTCTAGGTTAACCTAAAGAATTCAGTTTAAATCTGGATGAAATAAATAATATGTGTAGATTTGTCTGACTGGATTTGTTCACCTAGTCATTTATTTGCAGTTGTGCCTACTGGAATATTCCAATAAATGGCAAGGCTGTATACCCAATCTGATAACTCTGACCGAGAGTTGTTAGAAGAGTGACTGAGCAAATTTGTGTGAACATAATTAATCTCTCTGGGTTAGCTTTTGCACCAGTACATGAAGAAGCTTGGTAGATTTGGAACTTGTAATGTGACTGCTAATAACTGACTTGGGAATTAATACCATGGGGAATTGTATTCTATTTTATGTTCCTGCAGTATTCTACCCTCCTGCCATACAGGTGATTTATTCAGATTTGTTTATCTGGGAAGCATCATCAGAGGACAGTCACCTTCCTTCTTGGCTTTAAAATTGTTTCCAGAAACTGGGCCAGCTAGATCCTTGTGCACATGCAATTTCCTTGACTTCATTGAAGATGCACTTGTTCAGATGAGAACTGAATTTGGTTTTCTTTTGTTTTTCCAGTCACAATGTAATGCCATATGTGTGAGGAAGGGAGAGATTGGTTTCATACAATTCTCTGCATTGCTAGGCTAGAAACCAGGTTGGTTAGTCACTTCCTTCTTCCTCTTCAACTCCCTTCCTCTTGAACCAGTGGGCTGGAAATCTGTAGAG